GTTCAGAAAGCATTATACTTTTATGACTGGGTAACCTTGTTGGCCATCATAAATCTACCTGACAGCACTGGCTAAGACCACATGTACCCAGAATGCCCTGTTACATAATGCTATCTGTATGTTAGACCCTATAAATCATAAATGAGCTTCAGAACACCCCCCTCCACGCGACCAGAGAAATCCCCTCTCTAAGCTTTTTAGACAAGCCACATCACAAAGACCCGGAAATAGAGCGATGAGTAACAGGGAGTAACCAGCGGCAACAAAACACCAGAAATAATGGGACATGTTCGCTTCAAATGCAGTGACCCAGTTGAGTGAAATCAGGAGTCCACTGGCCCACTTGGATTGATCACTGTGTTGTAGATGACGAGAGAGATAAAAGAGTTCAAAAGAGAAGTCAGAGTTTGAATTAGGGTTGTTAAAAATTTGCTCATTAATACTGCTAGTATTGAAACTATATACTAAGTGTATATAGTTGTATAGTATTGATACTGAAAAAAAATCACATAACTAGGACAATGTTTTAGTTTTAGAATGGACTTAATCGTACTCAGAACCAAAACAAAACTAAAACACATTCTATTAGATATAAATAGTGGATTAATTAATAATCATTGCAGTGCTGAAATAGTTATCAAGCATCTTCCTTATAAGAATCAATACATACAGTGCTTATAACACTATGCAGGTGTTTGCAGGTGCTTTAGCAGGAATGTTTCACAGTATGGCATTACTTTTTTTTTTCAGTTATAGGTATTTCAGTAGCTTGAAACACATGCAAAATTATTATCGTGAGCAAGGTCATTTCTCCATAGATCTGGCTCATAATTTGTTATACTGGCATCATCGGATAGGTCAGACTCCATTGAAAAGAGACTGAAAGAAATCAGTGTATCACCGTATCACCTTCGGTTCTGTGTCTGCAATCCTTCCTTATCCGCACAGCTTTGAGCATATTTGTTTACATTTTACAAAAATTTAATTTAAAACCGCATGGCTAATTTGCATAAACTGAGTTCTCAAAACAGCTCGCTATTGTGTGCTGATGCAGTTCAGCTTCTGTCGGACTAAAGGACACGACTCATTGGAGTATATGTGTTCTTTCTATGACAGAAGGGTGTTCTGCTAATGGTGAGTTTGTTCTGTGCTTCTATCATGTTGGAGATGGTTCATGTGAAAGTTTTCAGATTATAGGTCATATGCATAGACCGTATATATGAACATATTCTAGCGTCTTTGCATTTGGCGGTGAATTACTTTGCGGTGCATAAACCTACATCAGCGTATCAGCGTTTTCAGGCGTTCACACAGTGCCGGATCAGATCCGTACTTAGATGAATTTGTGGGAGCTGGTGACACCAGATCGTTCCGTCTCTGAAGCCATTATCAATTGGATTAGTGTGGACAAACACTGCATCCACGATGAAAACAATTCGAATACATATTAGTGTGGACGGGGCCTCAGTTTCAGTCTATGAAACATTTAAGGGAAAGCATCTGCAAAAACATCTCCATGGAAACAAGCAGGTGGCGGACCTTTCTTGAAAAGTGCCCCATAATGCAATTAATATTATTATGTTACATTAGAAACTCAGGTAGAACTTAGTAGGCAAGGCAAGGTAAGTCAAGTTCATTTGTATAGCACAATGCATATACAATGAAAGTCAAATTATCATCAGAAAATTTACATTAAAACAAAAGAAGGGCAGAATAAAAACCCTCCAGTCATATGCACAGATAAACAGAACTCTTGACTGTAGTAGACTGTAGTAGTAGCAAAATACTTGTGTGTGATTAAACTATTCTAAAAGTTAATCCAGAAAATATTACACATTTACCAGCAGTGTTCTTCCTTCGATATAAAACACTTATTCAACTCCAAAAATAGAGCAGTGTGCACAGTGTGTGGACTCTTGATGAAATAGTTAGTGTGCTATTTTTCGACAGTGAGCTTGAGGGAAGGTAATTAAAGCAATCTGCAATTACTCTGAAAAGGGGCAAAGCTTTTGATGGAAATGCTTTGTTGGTGATTACATGCTTGCTATGGAAAGCAGCTCATTTGCATCTTAATTTGTTGAATATTTTTACTGGATTCTTACAACTTTGGGGAAAATATTTCTTACTAAATTACTAATAATGACAGGGCTTGGAGAACAGAATTAAAAGCCAAAGAAAAGTCTGAGCTTAGGTATAAAAAGCCCAATTTGAACTTTGACCTATTATATCCTAAAAGCTTAATCTTTGCTGACAAATCCCCCAAACTCCCACAGATTAATGCCATCGTTGTGTTCTTGGGTAAGACACTTGACCCACCTCGCCCCAAGTGCCATGCACCAGTGTATGAATGTACTGTATGTGTCTATGTGTGTGTATGTTTGTGTGTGTGTTGTGTGTGTGTGTGTGTGTGAATGGGTGAGTGGTTCCTTTAGAGATTTGTACTGACAAATCTGAAAAAAAACCGCCATCAAATAAGAAGTGCTATAGAACTGTTTTTTTGGAGGGTCTGGTCTGACGCCAGCTTGTCTCCGTGATCTTGCTTAAAGGCTAGAGACTGCTCTGTCTCCAGGGAGCTAAGTGGTGACACCATCAGTAACAAATTTTTGTGGAGAAGCTCTGTGCTTTTCAGTGTATTTTAGAGTAATAATAATACCTGTAATCAAATCATCATTAATGCCACATTGTGTATTATTCCAGGTGAAACAATAAGGTCTTCATGGACACAAGCAGGTAGCGGACCCCTGATTAGACTAATTACATAATGCACCTTTAAGAGATATGACTTATTAATTGACTTAATTGCCATAATATAATATTATTATCTCATCAAAAACATACCTTGAGTTGTGTTTTGTTTCATTCACACATGTTTGAGTAATCCTGGATTATTAGTTTTTTATACATCTCCAAATCTTAAAATGCTCTGTTCCACCTTGTGATGTCATCAAGCTGTAGTTTTCAAATAAACAGCTACTTTTTACCTTTTGTTCAATAAAGATTTACAATTCTAAAGCTGAAATGAAAATGAATGGAAAATGATTCCTGTGAATGAATTTGGAGTTTTACACACACTTCCCGCATTACCACGTGACATCACAAGTTGGAGTGTTTACTGTTTAAGAGAAGAACTCAGCCTAAATATGCAGAGTTTGTGTGTTAAATGTGTAAATGAAACAAGACACAACTCCAAGTATGTTTTTTATGAGGAAACAACATTATAACATAGATCAGAAAGCAGTACAATATATGCACTTTAAACAATCTTTTGATCCTGGAGTCTGGTTTCTTCTTATATTGTACAGAAAAGTACAAATATTATAACAAACTTGAAATCCCCACCATAAAACTTCATATTTGCGCTCGGGGGCAGCGTTGTGCTTGTGTTATGTCAGTGCAGTTGTTTTGATGGTCACGCTCTGCTGAGGACGGCTCTTCATGACGGATGGGGCTTAGACTGAGTCCTGCTGTGGCCTCCACCGTTTGATCCATCTTCTGAGGCCCTGGTGCCATTTTAACATGTGTTCCTCCATCGCGGAATCCCCATTTGTTTCCCCGCTCCACGTCATGTAGAGATCTGTGGCAGTGATGATAGATGGAGTCGAGATAGAAGTTCAACACTGACATTCATTTTAGTCATGGAGTAATTTATTACCACACTGTACGGCATAGCTTTAAGATATGTGAACAGATCATGTATTTTTATTTGAGACCACATGTAAAATGACAGAACATAATACTGTATGTTTTCATTTTTACATGGATACAACAGCAAATGCTTCAGAGGAATGATCGATGTGTCATGTGTTGGAGAACCAAAGATACTGTACATTTCAAATATGGTGGACAGTAAAGTTTTAAGTAAAAGTAGAAGAAAAAGTCTGATCAGGTTCTAATGTTTGATTTTGGATTAATGCTAATAATATTAACCAATATATTTTTTGATTGTAATCAAGTAATTGTCAACTCATTTTGTAATTGAATAATTGTTTTCTGGACGATGCACTCTAAAAGTTGTGTGCCAAGAGGTACTTTGTTGAAAATACACTCCGCGTTTTATAAAACAAATGTGATTAGATTAAGAAAATTAAACATGTTTGCAAAAAAAACCAAAAAAAACTTAAAGAATATGGGCACTGTGTAGGTACATGTGTAGTTCAGTATTGTAGACAGGTGCTCCTTGGAGAGGGTTTGAAAATATGTGTTGTCTGTAGGGTAAAATCTCAAAATCCTACATACAGTGGGTAACTGCCCACCTCTTACCTTGGTTTGTCCTTGCATCCTAATCATGGTTATGTTGGCCAATGTTATGTATGTTTTTAATCTTAATATCCCCAAAAGGCAATAAAGGCCTTTTAACTTTTCTAAATAGATGCCGTGCCTTGGGTTGTTATTGCTTGATTTTCTATTCACATTTTTAATATCTTACCCTACAGATGACTGCTTAAATACCTTCAAGTTAAACAGATATGTGTCATTTGAAAAGATGTTGAAGACTTACAATTTACTATTTGTCCAGTATTGTATTCAAGTTCAATTGTAGTGCAATAAAAATATGGTTCAGTTCTGCTATGTATATGTGTATAACAGCCAAGCCAATACAACTTGATTTGTATAGCTCATTTTAGAAACAAGACAGTGCTTCACATAGCAATGTAAAGCATTTTACTCGAAAAAGTCAGCAGAATTATGTTCCATACAAAAGGAATTTATAGAAACAATAGATAAAATAATCCTAATAAAATAAATTAAATAAAAGTAGTACTGAACATAATAAATAAATAAAAAGGCAAAGAATAAAAGTGAGCCTTAAAATGAGACATAACTCTCCACTGTGGGAGCTGTTCAGACGTGGGGGGCAGAGCGTTCCAGAGCATAAGATGTAATCATAAAGAAAAAAAAAGTAACTGTGATATCCGTTGTAACTCTTCTTTTGCATCCGTCCTATACAGTAATTATCACATATATTCCATTAATACATTTCTCTCACTTGTTCTGCGCAGGTTCGACTCACGGTGCAGACCCGGGAGCGACCTCTGGCCCCAATTCCCCCTCCTCCTCCCCCCTGACCCCCAGTGCTTTGGGCAGCGGCAGCTCCGACCCCGCCCTTAACGGAGGTCTGTGCTCTGCGGCCTACTGCAGCTCAGCGGGAGGTGAGTTCAAACCTGCAGGGGGGGCTATGACTGCACAAGCGCTTAAAATCAATCACTGCGGAGGAGAGGCAGAGGAGACAGGGAGCAGATGCCGTGTGCCCACTATTCACTAAGGATAGAGCTCCACGGTCCCAGTGCGACAGAGCTGCAGCTGGATATACGGATGATTTGGGCCTATGCAGATGATAAGTCACACCGCACACACTGTTACGTAAAATAGTCCCAAAGCAGGGTCTCTCGCTGTGAAAAACACCTGATTCACACATCCTGTTTTGATTATGTAAGATTTGTTTTCCATCTATCACATTGTTGTAGTAGTAGCCTATACAGTATACAGACTAATACTCACTGAAAACACCATGCTAATATAAGAGCTTTTGACAGTTTATAAGGTTATAAGTTTATCTTCTTGTTAAAGGTATTATATAATGCAAAAATGATTCTTGTGGGCTTTAAGCTTAGAATGTTGTTACCTCATCAAAACATACCTGGAATTGTGTTTTGTTTCCTTCACATGTGTTTCAGTAATCCTGGTTTATTAGTCTGTTTACATCTCCAAAGCTCAAAATTCTTGTGATGTCATGAAGTGGTAGTTTTGAAGTTAACATCTACCTTTTAACTTTTGTTTATTACAGAAGGGCAATTGCATGGCTGAAATTATCCAAATGATTCTAGTGATGGCGAGTTTAAAAAAAACAAACAGTGGAGTGTAACAAGTGTTTATTTGCATTTAATAAGTGCTTATTACTATATAATACATGTGTAATAACTGTTTGATTTGTAACTAGCTGAAATTGATGACCAAAAGATTCAAGGTAGATGACTGGAGGGCAGGGGCAGTAAATGAAAACAACAGAATGATTGAAAATGAATAATGTGTATTGTACAGAAATAAAAGTGAAATAACCCAATATGTACAGGTGCTGCAGCAAACCAAAAATCAGTCAAACTAAATCAAATCAATTAAAATCAATTAAATGTCCTTTGAAGTTGAAACTCAATCAAAAACCGGTATGTTCTCCCAACGTGGAAAAACAAGAAATCGTGCAACACTGATAATAGTCCGTAATTCGTTATTGCGAAAAGTGCACTGCCTATTAAGCGCAATTTGTCCGACAGTTTGAATAGTTATTGTAGTTAGTGTTGCTCAAGATTTGTTGACAGGATGTCTGCTAGCTCGCCATCGAATTTGACCCAGTATTTGGGCACCTGGCCTATGTACACATTAAAAAGCCTCTTAGAACATTGTTGAATGCGTACTACCTATAGCTAATTAGAAGTTTTGAATTTGCATTAACAACATTACACCAGTTCAAAATAATCTAAATCTAACATAGTATCAGTTCGTGTATTACCACACGGCATCACAAGCTGGACGGTGGAGTGTTTTCCATTTGAGAGCCTATATTTGCAGGATTTGTGTGTTAAATGTGTGAATGAAACAAAACACCAGGGATGTTTTTGATGAGGAAACAACATTATAACATAGATCAGAAAATAGTGCAATATAAACCTTCCTCGTAACTGTACCATTTTTCTAATCCACTGCGTTTGTCTCACCTCAGGCACAACCCCCAGCTCTCCGATTAGCCTGCCCAAGTCCCCCACCTTCCCATCAGGCCGCTCTCCGTGGACTGACGAGTGCTCCATCTGCTACGAGAACCTGGTGGACACCGTCATCTACGCCTGCGGTCACATGTGTCTCTGCTACACCTGCGGCATCAAGCTGAAGAAGATGTCCAACGCGTGCTGTCCCATCTGCAGGAGACAAATCAAAGACATTATCAAGACCTACCGAAGCACATAAAGAAATGGACGCCAGAAAGTGAATGGCTTGAAATCGCTAGAAAGAAGTAGTTTCAGGACTCGATGTGATACCGAGGATTTCTTGTTGGTTGGTTTTGACACGACCTTTACAGAGGCTCATTGCGCTTCATTGGAGAGGTCTTGTACACTTCGGACTTTGCAGCACTTTTGAGTGACTGTGTTTTTCGCCTGGAGGAGTTTTTTGGGCTCCGTCAGGCAATTTCAAAACCCCAAATTTCTCTGTTGACGAGCCATGTTAGGGAGTTACATCTAAATGGGATAATAATGTGACATCTTGGGAGTTAAATGTCCAGCTGAAAAAGTGCTGGATTTGACCAACTTCATTTAAGATAAAAGCACAGCGTGATGGTCTCAGTACGTCACAACTTGTGTCTGTGCCACTGAGAAAAACAAGTAAAATGAATTAGCAAACTTGGGGTATTGTCATGTTGGCGACAGTGTGGTGGTGCTGATTAGCCTATACTGCATAGGATTGTAACATCTTGTATTATCTAATGTACTTCTATGGTAGTTCTATTGCTGACAGTGGTGGTAGCTATGTTATTGTGCTAGCAAGTGGCTTGCTCTCTGCCATGTGGTATGTCGCACTGAAGTTAGCATCGTTAGCATTGTCTTCAGAAAACAGAATCAAGATTAGGGTGACCAGACGTCCCTATTTACCCGGGACAGTCCCAGTTTTGAGCCCTGTGGGTTTTTTTTGAGCCCAGCAGATTTATCCAAAACCAGTGATTTGTCTCAGTTTTACACAAGAAATGTCCCTGGTGTCCCAATTTTTAGCCAATTTGATCCCTGCCAACAGCAAAGAGAGGCATAAATTGTCATTTGTTTAGGTAAAATACAGAAAAGCGGTTTAAAAATGACCAAACCCCAAAGACAATGTGACTATACTGACTCACATTAGTGCCGAGTGCAGAACAATTTTCCATAATTACGCGTTCGTTTCACTATTTTCTTATTACCAACCAACCCAAACCAGGGATGTCCCAGTTTTTTTATTTTGAAAATCTGGTCACCCTAAAAAGCTACAAACTTAAATATCATTCAGATCTTAAAAAGTGCAGAAATAAAAAGTTGAAAAGAGAAGGGAAAAGATTATTCTCCTCAGGGCCAACTGTATTTTAGGAAATCTACCTATAACCTCATACACTGTGAGCACTAACTCAACGCACCATTCATGTGGTCTTTAAATATACTTTATGGATTCTGAAGTTTCTTTGCTTCAGGGATTTCATCTTGAGAAGTCAACATTAATTAAAGGTGTACTGTGTAACTTTTCTGATGGTGGGCATGTCACCTGCTTGTCTCCTTGGAGATGATGTTGCTTTGGCTGGAATGTTTCACACTATTTAGCATTTCTTTGACCATAGGTGTTTTCACAACATGCATTGTTCTTGGCCAGATGCCCTCACCTGCTTCACATCCATCAACATGGAGACAAGCAGGATCAATATGTTTAATGCCATATTGTGGAACATTACAGGGAATTAGGACCACATGAACGCTGCAAAAATAGACCCAATCGCACTAAGGATTGTTGCCATGGATTCTTAAGCCACCACTTACCCACAGCCTCCTGCCTTAACCACATAAGAATAGTTTTTTTTCACACCTTTTAAGTACATTTCACACAAAAAACAAATTACCAAAAATTATGCTTTGAAGTGGCACAAACTCAGAGGAGATGAAGAAGCACATGATATTTTTATACCAGATATCCGTGACATTTCCAGTTCAAAAATGTGTATCTTTTCACCAGCAGAGATTGTTTATAGGGACAAGATCAGGAGAATGAACATGTTTAACTATTTATACTATTTCTAAGCCCTAATTATAATAGATATTGTATTATTATGTGACCCCCCCATCCCCATAGACTTGTTACTTGTATATAGACTCAAACTTTTTCCCCACAAATTTATAAGCCATAATTTATCAGTAGGAAACTGGATTCTGCCAATCAATGTATGTGATAGAGTTCTATAACAAAAACACAACAGTGGTCTAGATCTAACTGAAAATTTCAAGGCCCTGACCTGATGCCCCTGGGCAATACACATCACTAATTTAGCCTGTCAGGCAGGGGCGGAAAAGTCATCTAATATAAAATGTATTTTGCATAAAAAAGTATAACAATATGATTGTACAAGGCCACACTTGAAGATATCTAATCTATCCTGCCTATTTAATTTACAAGAGATTTACAAAGATATAAAATAATTATTTAGTATTTGAATTTCCCTGTTTATACCACATTTGGGATGTCTGAATAAGCTTTAACACAATTATATTAGTTCTAATTGTTCACCATTACCGCCAATGTGCCTCTAAGAGAATTTTCAGTAAAAAACTATAAGGATATGTTGCGTTGTATACTAACCAAAGTAGATTTTTTTTTTTCTGCAATATTTCTGAAAAAGTGGAATTTATTAATTGATGGCAGAATCCAGTTTCCATACTTAACCTTGGAAAAGGTTGTTTTATAGAATTATTATTTGTAGATATTGAATCAATGGGGCTAAAACCGTTGCTGCTACAGCATTGGCCGGTGCTAATGCTAATAGTGATGCCTCCCACAATGACCATTTGATTATGCTACTGCTTGATGTGTTCAATCACAGTTTTACTGTTAACTTATATATTTAGAAACTTATTTGTGAATTTCAAAGATAAAATTAAAAAGTTGTCTGTCTAATCTGAATTTGATTTGTAGTTTTGAATCCATAAGAATGTACAATTGTTATTATGACTTTAGTGAAATCATAGAAGGTGTTGTGCACCTTGCAGCATTTTGCAGTAAACAATCAGAAATTCATTGGTATGAGGTAGAATATGTACATTTTGGTCAATTTGAATTTTTGTAATTTAAATTTGTGTGTGTGTGTGTGATAGGGAGCACTGTACTAGTCAGTTGTGTATTTATCGAGCTCTTTTTTATATAGTCAAAGCCATTGCTGTATAGTCAATGATATATGTCACTTTATGAAGCTACTGATTGTACTCTTGTAAATTTTCTTTTTACAGCTAGTGTTGCTTTCTGAGACTCAAGCACGGCAAACACAATTTTTTTCTTTTTTTTTTTTTTTTTTTTACCAAATCTAAAATCTTAATACATTGTACAGATGCATTTCTCTCTGCAATCTGACCATTTTCATATATTCTACATGTTTTAATTTTGCATTTAAACTGCTATTTCGCTCCTTATTTTTGCAGCTTCCTTGAATGTGTTTGCAATGTCCTATTTATTTGTCCATCTGTCGAAGTTGGACTAATTCCTTGCTTTTCTTGCTTTGTGTGTGTGTGTTTTGCTTGTACATTTAAACACTATGGCTTCCTGTGTCCAGCCAATCACAAAGCAGCTCATTCTCTTTGCAGATGTACAGTCGTGCACATGTTACTCAAAGTGCATGATTTCTGGGACCAATGCTCAAGTTTTGCTAAGAATTGCACTCTCTCTCCTCAGCCATTGTAGTGACACCGCTGCAGCTAAAAGTGATTTTTGCAGAACCTTGTAATTTTCTTTCTTTTGTATTTAAAAAGTCATTGTGAGCTCTGTTCGGTGTGTCAGATGATTGTGGTGAATAAACTTTACATGTGTTTGAACAAAATTGTCTGGATTCTTTTTTTTTTTTTTCATGTTTCGTAAGTACTAGATCATAAGAAGAAGTCATACAATTAAGTGGTTTGAGAGAACATGCCAAGGTTAGGGTTAGACGAAGGAAAATGATTCTCACTGACAATACCTGAAAAGAAGAAAAAGAAGAAAGTACATAGCTCAAGTTGAGTGTACTTTTGAGTTGACTGTAGTAAAATTACCTATACTTCAAAATATTACTTAAGTAGAAGTACAAAGTAGTGGTTGCAGAAATTACTGTTGAGTGACAGTAAAACATTTTTTGGGAAAGTACTCTCTCAAAGTGACTCAGATGACATTAACTATAAAAGTAACTTTATGTAATAGCTGATTCATAATTATACAATGCAAAAGTCTGGTATTTTCAAAGGATAGATCTAAAAAATAAAAGAAAAATCTCTGTCAGTGATAATATGCAATGATTATGTACATACACAAAAACACAAGTTAGGAATTTTGCCTAAATCTCACCATCCAAACTCAATTACATGAGAATTCCCCCAGGATGCTGTGGTCAGAAACTGTTCCTGAAGAGGACAAATTTCCAGCAGTCAAGGTCAATAAAATATATCTTATAAAATATACCTTACCAGCCTTACTCCACAGAGGCTTGGTTATGTTGTTACTGTTATTCAGGGCTTCCTAAACAAGTGTATTTGACCTTTGAACCTGGTGCCTAAAGAGACTGAAATGTAAGTGAGGTCAAAACATGTTTAACACAAACTCAGTCCAGATCACCCAGGGTCCACCAGCTGCCTTAAGTCAAATGCCTTCAGTCAATATTTACTCTAGTTGGAAGTATTAAGACAACAGATGCGTAGTTACATTTCCTTGAGTACATTTTATAATGATTTGTAGTTTGCTGAATAGACACCATAACTTTTACTTCTACTTGAGTTATACTTAGTTTGTAATAGTAAGTTGAAGTTATATATATATATATATATATATATATATATATATATATATATATATATATATATATATATATATATATATATATTTTAATTTTTTTTTTTTTTTTTACAGTTGATCTCTAAACTAGTACTTCTAGTACTTACATTTTGTTTTTGTTTTGTTTAGTTTTTTTCAAATATGTGTGTAACTTTTATTATAATTACCTATTTGGGATGTCTGCCTTTCATTTCGCCTTAATAATAATATATTAATGTTAATCTCACTGGAATACATTTTTGAAACTCTACTCACCTTTGTTAATAAAATTATTTATATATTTCCTCAGACAGACCAGATGTCCTACTTTCTGTCATGAACCATGAATGCTAAAATAAACCACAGTTGAAAAGACTATGAATATAATATAATAATATTAAAATAAAGTATATATCTCTGACTCTCCATTGTGCAACCAAGCATTCGCTGAACTGACAGGAACCATCCTCTCTTAATGTTCACATCTAATAATATCATATAATAATATAAAAGGATTTCATCTGCAGACGTACTTTCAGAGTTTAATTTTGTTCTGCTTTTTCTTTTCAAATCAAAGGCTTCTTGCAGAATGGTGGATCCAGTGCAAGAGAGCCATCTAGTGGAGGAGACGTGCTATTAAATTGATAGGTTTTGGGAAAATTGAACAGCAAAAAAGGTGAAGACAACAGAAGTCAACAGCACTGAGAGGTGGCAATTTGAGCTGACAGTTTCAAGTGTTCTTAGACAGATCTGAGGTAACAGGCCTGGTGAAATGAAAGGATTTTCCCAGAATTCAAGCAAATAGTTCAATTCAGTTCATTCAGACAGGAGAGAGTTGTAGTTTTGCTGTGCTGCAGTGGTGCATGCAGATAAATGGATCATGGTATTACAGTATTTTACACCATTTATAGTAAGTTTAAATAGTGAAGTGCATATTTTCCTGGAGTCTCACAGAATGTGGATGGTAATTTACAGAAACTGTATATAGTAACTGACTTATGTCTGTTTCATTGTTTGGTTTTCTGACTTGTTTTTGATTAAGGTTTCTGATGTGGACCCCAGTGATGTTGTGACAGTGGGTTACAAAAATAAATTATATTGACCTGAATATGGAGCAGTAGCTGAGTGGAATTTGCCTGTTTCTACCCGTCTCTGGGTGGGCACTCCAGTTTCCCCATCAACCCAAAAAATGCATCACAGGTAAAATTTTCTTGCTAAAGTCTAAGTCAAGGAAACCTGGCTAGCATCGCCTAATGCCTCTGCTCAATTAAATTTCTCTCCAGTGACTGGGTCAGGAATTGGAATATACTAGACAGTTTACAAGAACCCTGGAAGTGCGAGTTCGGCACCTGAGATCAAGGATTTAAAGCCAGAACAAAGAGAATGTTTGGTGAATTTTATCAAGGGGAAAGACGTTATTGTCCTTTTTCCTACGGGATTTTGGAAAAGCTTAATATTCCAGTTAGCCTCGTTAATGGCACATTATATAAGGCACGACCAAATAGGAGCAATTGGTAAAAAAAAAAAAAAAAAAAGTACCTGGCTACAGTCGAGCGAACAAATCCTAATGCTGCGAGGTCAGACAGTTTCCACGAAGTGAAACCGGCTAAGGTCAAGGTCCTGAACAAGCCATAGGTCATGATCTTGAGATGCTTCCCCAGCGCCCACTGCTCCAGACAGGTTTCCCAGCAGGATTGAAGGATGTGTAAAATGCTAACCCAGCCTAGCCTAAATATTAACAATAAACAGGAAAACTCACCTGACTGAATCACACCTATTTTAACATACAGGTTCACCTCTCGCTATATCTGACCCACAACTTGTCCTGGTTACTTCAAGTCACTTTACACTGGACATTTAATGACATGGTGGAACGTTTACAAACATTACCATTCATCACCTTGATTTAATAATAGTAATTTAGAAACATATTTTATTTTACACTGCATTGACTAGAGGGAGTAGTCTACTTTTGCAGCTGTGCTCATGTCCTGGAATGTTACTGTGTTATTAATGCATTTATGGATGATGGACTATAACCTCCTGGAATGCTGTTTTAGTTGAAAATCTCATGTTTGAACCCCTGTTTGGTCACTACAGTTATATTCATATATTTTTCGCTGCTTTTGTCAGGAGTAATAAATCTTTTCCGCAGAGGGGTTTGATTGAGTGGGTCTCTGTTGCTTAGCGCTAAAATCTAGGTCTTGCATATCTTCAGTTACCATTTTTGCCTGTCCCGCTATATTTAACCAGCTGCATTGTATTACTGTTGCTTGTCTAAACTAAACAATACGGTAGCAAAGATTAATGCCTCCATCTGTAATATTACTGTCATATCATATCACTGTGTATCACCAAAATGTGCAGTGGGTATTATCAGCGCAAAGAAAAACACACGGAGGCTGAGTCAATGTAAAACAACAAAGATAATACATTTAATATTGTTTCTCTTTTGGGCAATGTGAGATACAATGTAAACATGTACAGGATACAAAAGAAGTCATCAAAATGAAAAAGATAAGAAAATGGCCTGTTTTCAAAAGGCATGCGGAGGTGGTGTATTTTTGCTATTGCCGAACAGAATGCAGGGAATTGATAAGAATATTATAGGAAAAGAGATTTATTTTAGTACTTCTATTCATAGTGAAGAGTGTCAGTATCTTATCTTTGAGGTAATAGCAAGCCATAGACAAGGGCTGTGCGAGGGAGGGCACCAGGCATAAAATCTCAAATGAATATGAAATACACAAAGATAGAGGGACAGGTAAAGAAATTAAATGATTTTTTTTTTTTTTTAAATCTTGACTTAAGATTTTCATGCCATATGAAAATTTGGTATGTGTACTGAGATGTATGTACTACCAAAACAGCTCCATAGTACTCCATGTTACTCCAATATACTAAAATTTAACCTTTTAAAAACATATATCTTCAACCTGCTTTCTTTAATTAACCGAAGACTGTTTCAGTGTTTGATTTTTTGACAATTCTGTATAGCTCTATGAGGCGACTACTGTTGTGATCGTAGGCTCTCCAATTTGAACTTTGATATAAGAAAAATCACCACATACCCTTTGAAAAGAGGACATATAACACAATTTGCAACAACAATGTTAAAAAAAAAAAAGACATAAAAGATTAGCACCTCCTTTGGTCCATCTCGAGGCCGTGTTTGTTAGTATTTGCGTGCTGCTGGTAAAGAAACATGATAAACTATTTCAATTTCTGTTATATTTGGCACACTACTGTCCTAAGAGCAGGCGATTTTGTCTCCAAAAATAAAACCTCAAATTGACCTTGGCTTTGTGTAGCGTCAATCACTTTTGACAGCCAAATTTTGACGGCATATAAATTTGTCACTCAGGATGCCATAAGCGAAAAAGGATAATTAAAACACACCACTGTGCTAATTATAACTTTGAAAGACAAAATACAAGTTACTCTTCTACAAAGTTTTGCCTGACTCCTGCTGGTATCCACAAACTTAGTCCAGGGAAGTTCACTCAAGGCCATAAAAAACACGTTTCTTGCATTTTTATCTGATTCCCTACAGTTCTATTGTAACGTTTTCTAGCCTCAAACAAAAACGAATATTAAAGGCCCTGTAACCGATTGCTTTCCATGTATCTGAGCAAAATTTGTACTTGCCCCAGTACAAATAAATTGTATAACCGGCTCTTGAGGTCAAAATAAGACAAAATAAAGCCTGTTATTGTCCTGCAGATGAGGAAGTGCGCAATTAGCAAATTAGTTATTTTACAGCAAAACTATCTGGTCTCTGAAAGTTGTGAAAATTGCTTATTAAGTCATTGCGGTACAAATTTAGGATGCTTGATAAGTACGGAATAACTCTGGCCCACTGCAAACTAAAACTTGAAATATAAAACTAGTTCTGTTTTCACTTTTTTAGAAGGTAAAAATCAGGTACAGCACCTTTAATAATTACAATCACAAACTTATGTAAACCACGACTCACACATGACAATGCCTTCTCAAAACCTACGTCTTCAATTTGATCTCAATACAGAATGTTCCCTGCGTTCCCAAGCTGCTTCTGACTTAAAAGCATTGCCTTAACATTAGTAAGCATCTTACATTTTTAGTACATTTAATTAGCCTATCCTCTGTAAAAAGGACCCAAAAGATACAGAGAGAACTAAACCAATTGAAGACATTTTTTCATTTTATTCTCTGAGAAAAAAAAAGTTTCTTAGCAGCTCTGCTCAGCTCGCTCAGCCTAAGGGCGACATAAGATCTGACGATGCAGAATGTAAAAGGAAAAAAAGATGTAGGATCAGTTCTGAAACTTTTTTTTAAGATGGAGCGAAAGAGAAAAGCTAGAAAAGATTGTAAGATTTGGGACCCTGAAATGTTCTGTGATGCAAGTTACTGTATTTAAAACTAGAGCAGTGAGATTATAGAAAGAAGCTTGTTTGATAAAAGAAGAAAGAAGAAAGGAGTCTAAAGGGCTTAATCATATTTGAATGCTTACAATTAGCAAATTGTAGAGACTGTCATTATTTAGGCAATCTAATGTCCTCTAAAACACAAATAAAAACTAGTCTCTGTGGAGTCCTGTTAAAGATGCACATTCTAACTTTTCAAAATGACCGCCACCTGCTTGTTTCCATGGAGATGTTACTGCTCTATCTCAAATGTTAAACAGTAGGGCATTAGGCTTCACTATTTCCATAAAGACCTCATCAAGCCAAGTTACAGGTCAGAACTATGGAGAGGTGACCCCACTCACAACAAGAAGCCCGCTTTCAGAAAGAAAGATCAGTTTGATAACATCCCTATGACAAGCAGGTGGCAGACCTTCCATCAGACATTTTTAAGTATCAAACCTGGGATCTGTAATGTGTTTTGTTCAGATTTCTGTTTTCTCTCCTCTAATGTTATATTTGCCTATAACATATTCAGCCCTCTCCGTATCAAACTCCATTGTTCTCAGCTTGTCACATACAATCCACTTTCTGATCCTTCTTGCGTCTCCCGGCGTTCTACTCTCACAAATAGCCTTCTTGACCTTCTTTGTCTCTCTACAGTGCACCTGCAAACTATCCATCACTCTATGCAAAACAACTCCACTCATTCACATTCACACACACTCACACACCCTAGCAAAAACATGCTATGCCCCCAGGAACTCCCCAAGTATGCCTCAATTACCAGCAGGAATTGGCAGCCATGTACCGTAGAAGAATGCCTGACAATATGCGAAGATAACAGGGAGAAGAGCGAAATGAAGGAAACTCACAATTTAACGGCACAATAGGTAAAATAGTGAAATTTAGGTTTTTTTTATATTAAGAATCAACTGTCCAGATACATGACTTGCACTCAAATATTGCAAGATCTAAGAGATAAATAAATAAAAATAGGACACTAACCATTAGTCGAAATCACAAGGAACATACTCTGACCAAAAGGTTTATCAGTACACAGAATTGTAGCTTTGAATGGCTTTTGTAGTAGGGAGTAAAATCCATGTAGTAATATTTTTATTTGTTAGGTATTTGTAAATTTGAATGAACTCCTTCTCCAAAATAACATGACTGTAAAAATTCTCATTGCTACAGACAAAATTCAAATCCTTGCACTCAGTTATCATTGGGTCCGAATATGTGTGAATAAAGATGTTTCTCAAAGGTGTTTTACCTGAACCACTACCTGCACATTGCAAACATACACCTGAAATAGATGCAGGATTTTCTGTTTTGGCCTGTCCATGACTCTAGTCTTTAGCACAGTGGTGTGTTCCCCTGCGGAGAATGATACAGCCTGCCAAGAGTCCAGTGAAAAAAAAAAACGCCAGGGACTCCTATTTTTGGCTCTACACTCTGGAAATAAATGAACTGAGGTGAGCTGGCCTGGAGTACTAAACATCTGCCCACTCTCTCGTCTAGTGCCTACTTTCTCTGGTCCACTTGTTTTTAGTCACCAGTGCCAATGGAGCCAAATGTCACCTTTAGTGGGATAAGGACTCAAAAATCTGCAGTTAAAATGTCACGAGGAGGTATTTGAGGATTCATGGGTTTCAGCTTCCTCTTGTATGTAACGTTTTAAAGTGCGTATAACAGGTTTTGGCGATTCTCCAATTTTGACTTAATTTGTTGTGATAGTACATGTTGAAAATATAAATAATAGTTTTACACCGATCAAGCAACGTTGCAAGAAAAGTTGAAAAATATGTTGAAAATTACAAAAATGAAGAATTCCATATTGATGATATCGCAGTAGGGAGAATTCCAAAAGTTCTGCACAACGCAAGAAACACATTTTTCCAATATTTTAAACATTATTTCAACAAAATAAATGTCTTTTCTTATATTTTAATGGTCAATCATAATTTCTGTGTACATCAGAGGAGTTTTGGTTCAGGTTATAACATGGCAACTAGGTACAGTTACAGATTTCCCTTTCATGATGTCATGATTTCCCATCAGGAAGCAAAATTTGAAAGCTAATAAATGGCCAAACTGGAAAAGAAATATTAATATTTTTTTTTATAAAATGATCTTAACAAGGTTTTAGTAAAATGAGTAGTCTAACCTGTTATAGGCACTTTAAGACCCATTTAAAAGACATAATATGTTCTTTTAAAGTGTCAGTCACTATAGCAACAGTACAAATTGTTCTGAAACCCATGGATAGGAAACGACACAGACTGGAGAGGGATAGAACTAAAAAGGGGGCTAAACAACACAAAAACATCCAAATCAAAATATCAAAATTCCATTCAGGCACAAATGTGACAGCTCAGAGCAGGGCGCGGGGACCTCTCTGATGTCCCAGGACCCAGATGGCTGTAATGTCAATATTGAATGGGTCAGTGAGTTACCGTCATGTCATTCACAAATCACTGTCTACTGCTGACAGAGGGGAGAGAGGGGCTGGACAGGGTCATCCATCCAAAATGTCCATCACATAGGAGAGATATGGTTGCTTTGGTCCAAGGGTTTTTCTTTTTGGGATGCGTTTAGGGTCCTACACACCTGCTCTGACACTGGAAATCATATAAGAAATCTGATGACTGGCAGTTGCGACTAAGGATGCCTTCAAATGTCTGTAGTGTTCAGATTGTTCATTTCATTGAAGCGTGTTGGAATTTTCTATTGCACTTTTCCTCGAGGGGACATTTTAAAGTAAAACAAAAAGGGGAGAAGAATAAAATAGAACAATACACATTAAAGCATAAAAGACAACGCCACACAGCTAAACAATAAGCTTGACACAAAATGATTCCCTTGCATTTGTAGCCAAAGCCTTTAAAGCAATAAAAAATAGTATGTGCTGGAGCTGCTGTGAGTGAGTCAACACATTTACATAATGCCTTCGTCCACAGTGGAAATGTCTCAACAACTTCAGTTTGGGGTTTCATCTTATTTAATGCTTGATTACAGGGTAAAGGGAACTTTTCAACAGGCAAATTATTTTTGAGAAACACTTTGATTGTCAAATCATGATTAAAGTGAAAATCATTAAGTGAAAATAACAATAAATATTTGAATCCGGCATTATGTAAAGCACAATAAAGATGAAGGAAGGGCCTGTGGTTTGCTAAAGTTGCAGCACACAGCATGAGGAAAAAAGGTCCAATAATATTCTGCTAAAAAAAACAGCTGCTCTTTGAATAGGTGTGCATAACGCTTCGATTCCTCACTGACCAGCAGTGCACTTCTTATTGCACTGAGGTTGAAAGCAGCCTCTACTGGACTGTTAGTGTTGTACCGCTTAGGTCCACTAGAGGGCTGTATTTGCCCATTTTGGTGGTGCATTGATAGTGAAAAATCACCTCTTTAAGGTTAAAAAAAAAAAAAAATAAATAACATAATAAATAAAATGCTGTAAATGGACTGCATCTTTACATTAATGCACATTAAGAGTTTAAAGTGCATTAACTGACAAAACAGAACCACTCCATTCCTCAATATTGCCACTGTGTGACCACAAACAACCAAACATAAAATACATAACTGCGATCTAGCAGGTTTAATACTCTAACACTGTCCAGCAGAAATAATGGGTAATTAGTGATGAGCCTCAAGAGGTCTCAGTTCGTTAGAAAATGTATTTCAGCAGTCTTGAACATCAGCCATTCTCAGCTCAGAGTCAAGTGCTTCCAGATAAAGTACTTTTTTGCTGATCATAATTTCATGATAAATATTTAACAAGATATAAACCTGTCACTGATTCTTACTCTTTGGTTAATCACATTTTGGGCAAAATGTAACAATGTCCCTGGGATGTCATTATGTCACTTTGTTCCAGTACGTACTGCTTCCACACATCATCAAAAATAAATATGTACAAAATATATTTTCCTGGATGAAAACCAAAATATTTAACTTACATTTTGTAAACTTTTGTTTGCAATCTATTTGTCAGAGCTCCAGAGATTAGGTGGTTCTGGAGCGCTCAAGTTATAGTTGCTTTATTTTACTTTTTACAAAACTAACGGTATTTTCAAGCTTTTCAGGATTCATGTATTAGTTTCCAGATGGTTACATCTAGGACACATTAAAACAGACATTTTCTCAGGGCTAAAAACACTAATCTATGATGGCAACCTATGCCAATTACTACAAGTTAAGCACCTACTGCATATTCTGCCAGTGTTGGTAAATGAAACAGAGACTAGAGGCAGGAGTTGTTTTAGGCTGAAGAAGGAAAATGATGTCACAAGAAAGCAGAAATAATTCTCTAAGGAAGACTCGCTTCAACGCAAGACATACATGAACAACAAAAACACAAATGAGATCCAGATGTTTTTTTCATTTTTTGCATTGACTAAAACTTTAACTTGTTGGAAAACGGAGGAGTCCACTTTTAGCAGAGCTTGAGATAAGTTGTAAAAATACTCTTGGTGGTGTTCATAGACCTATGGCACTGTTATAAAAATGGTTGGTTTATTCTGATGCCATCCACCATTTCAGACCTCCACTTGTTGTGATCAAATACTGAAGGCACTTAATGGCCATCACTGTCAAAAGACATGATGCTAATTTCTTTTAAACATTTTAAACATTATTACTCCCATAACCCATTTTTAAAGTCCATTCTCTACATTTTATCCCAAAATTCAATCTGATCTTCATCCAAACCACTCATTTCCCAAGTATACTTTTTAGTAAACCAGCACTAAAGTGTCTTTTTCCATTTAAACATCTCTCTTATTACAGTCTTATTTTTTTCTTTAAATGTACAGTCAAACATATTGCTTATGGGAGATTGGGGGCAACATTCTTAGGGATGCTGTCATCCAGTTGCTTGGAGACATCCAAAATTGGGTCTGGGGATATAAGAAAAAGTTTAAACATTTTGGGTTTATTTCTTCCTCTCTAAATAGTTGGAGGGAACCCAGCCTTTCCGCGGTATCAGACTGTCTTGGACTTGGCAGTACCACCATCCATTTGGGTTTCTCTCCAAAACCTCCAGACAAGTGCCCTCAGTAAAACCCATCGTCTCCTCATCTCCTCTGTAATCAGCAATAGACACGTACACATCTCTACCAAGGTTATTGTGAATGATCTGGCTTTTTTCTATAGGCTTGGGGCGGACAGTGGAAACAGGAATACCGTTGCGTTGACTGCTAGTGCTAAACCCACTGCTTGTAGACCCCAAACTGGTGCGCTCTGATGGCCTGGTTTGACTTTCGACGACCACATGGGGGCGCACTGTGCTAAAAGACGCATTACGACGGACTCCCAAAGTGGCCGATCCGGAGCTGTAGTGATCACTCCTACCCAGCGAATCATTTCCTCCTTAGGGACCCTGTCATGTAGTGTGCGTCCTTGGATGGCTGCGATGTTGTCACAAAAACAGATTGGGGTCTCACTGCAACCTGGCGCACCCCATTTCTCATCCGCACCCCTCCGTTCACCATTTGGGTTGGTTTGGAGAATCCACCAGGAGGTTTGGATGGAATCGGGGGCGTATTCCTACTTAAACTTTGATGCTTCTGGCCTTGAATGTTGATATTGTTAAGTGCCATGACATGTTGCTCGTTTTTCTCCAAGCTGTTTGACTTGCTATGTCTTTCGGACTCCGTACTGCCTTTTTGACGAACTGGTTCAAGATAGTAAGAAGGAGCCCAACCTTCTTCAGATGCCCAGCGAATGTACCACCAACCACTTTCTTGCTTCTCCAACACCTCCACTTCGGCTCCAGCTGGGAAACTAATCTCTGAATCTTGAACTTTTTTGTACGCGTCAACAGAGCGATACATAGTCATCCCTTCTACATCTGAACTTTTTGAATAGACAGAAGACACATCAGAGGTACTTCGTGAACACATAGATTCTTCAGATGAAATGACTGACGCGGTTTCAGAATCTTCTCCTCGTGATGTTTTGAGACCGGGTCGATATTGACTTGTAGGTCTCAACTGGCGTCTCAGTGACCCAATATCCATCCTGTCTGGGCTTTGCGGTTCTGATTTTGAGAGTAGTGGTTTTGGGCGAACAGATGGTTTGGGTCTGGTCGACGGGCTTTGGCCTATCCTCTGCTCTACATCCCGGTTTAAGTTGGTGGTCTTTTTAACACTTCTGGGTAATTCATCTGACGAGGAGTGTGGGCTACTGCTGTCATGACTGCGCAGACTTATATCTATGTGTCTACCTAAGGTTTGGCTTCTTCTGTTCATTTCTGGAGTCATTGTTTTCATAGGTCTACCACCAGCAAGCGGTGAAGATCCAGATGGTTTTCGTGGGACAGTTGAAGAATGATACAACCTGGGCGAGCTTGGTTCACTTGACCCCTTAAGAGAAGAACTATCGCCACTACTGCTAGCCCTAAAGTCATTTTCATATATGCACTCCTCCTTGGATACCTCTTCCACTGATCTAAATGTAGATTTGCGATGGCTAAAGACTGGTGATGCTTTGCACACAGGAGGCGAGGATTTGCAAGATGGTGGAGAGCTGCCATATTTTTGACTAACAATGTTGCTTAGCTTTACATCTAGAGATCGGTCTTCTTTGAGTGAATCAACATCTGATTCGCCTTCACACCCTACAGCAGGGATATCATACTCTGGCTCTTCATATACAGGCCGTTTAGGTGTATCTATAGGTTTGGTAGGAGTAATAGTACTAGGGGCTGTAGTAGTAATAGTCGTGGTGGTAGGGGTTTCTTCACACTCAGATTTTTTGACAGGTGGGGCGGGCGGAGGGATTTTTGGCCTGGTTAAGGTGCTGGATCTCCGGTTGAGATTGGGTTTTTTGCGTTTGTCGATGTAGGAACAGGGAGCCCAGCCCTCCTTCTCTCCGATCTGCACATACCACCAACCACCAGGGTTTTTCTCAATCACCTGTACAATAAAATACAGAAATAAGACAAATGTTTAGTGTTCGTTATATTAAAATATGTTTATAGTTCAGTGTTGCATAATATTCTCTCATCGCTATATAAAACCATAAGTCTTCTTCAGCTCTTACTACCTACATCCATAACTCTCCTACATCTTATTATCTAACTCAGTTTATTTGTTGACTATTTGTTATTTGCACAAAACTTTGCATACATATTGCACATTATTTTCTTTATATTCCAGCTTATTTGATTCTGTTTTCTCTAAATATTCGCCCTAATACAGTTTACATAGCAGTTTGTAAACAGGGATCCCCAAACCCTAGCTTGATAATAAGAAGCACTTTGTAGCACAATTTAAAATATATATATGTTTATATTCCTTTTTACTTTACCATTGCTCATTCATAAACTAAGACTATTTGCAATGTTTAAAAATTAATTGCAAATTTCTGTTTGTATGCGACTGTTTCAATGAATGTATGCTATTACAATCTATTTTCTTCTATTTTCTTGTAGAGCCATAGTGCCCATACACTATAACTGCTAGAGCCCGACCGATATATCGGTTGGCCGATATTATCGGCTGATATGGGCACCTCGAGGCATATCGGCCGATATGCTTGCTGATAGGGGCCGATATTTCACGTGGGCATGTGATACGTCGTTAAAAATCTTAGACTCTCTACATTATGTTCATTTAATCCAATTTACAGACAGATAAATGTCCTAATATGTGGCTCCACATCAGTATTTATCTACGGAGTCATTTATCCGTGCGTGTGTCCGTATTGTCCCTGAACACACCACAGAGTCGTGTCACTCACGTGCGTTTGTTTACATTCGCAGACACAGATCCAAACACTGAGATTATTTTCTTTTTACGGACAATCGGTTTGAGTCTGGATTAAAAGGACATTTATTAGTGCAGACTTGTGATGTGAGGAGGAGCCTGTATGAGCGGTGAGTGAAATATGTCGACTTTGAAGCTAGTTTTAGTCATTCGTTATGGGTTAGCTGCTGTAGCTCCCGCACATAAACAGGCTGTTTTCTATTGGTCTATTGTAAAGTGACTACATTGGCCGTATATTTGTTACTGGACCTGCACTGATATGTAAATGAGCTGTGAATAGACGTGTGAATTATGACATTTGCGCATATAATTAATTACCGCGGCGCGCAGCATTTACGGCTAAAGGCTAATAGCGCTAGTTTCTTTACTAGTTATGGGTCCGTCGCGAACGAAATGACTCTTAGAACCGGCTCTTTGAAGCGAACGACGGGAGCCTGATCCTTATTGGGAGCCGTGTTTTCTCTTTCTCTCACTTTTTTTCTCTTCACGCCGCGTGCAGACTCGTGGTTTGACAGCGGCAGCGGCTAAAAACGAAACTTTGAGAAATTTGCGTGTACATAGGATAAAAAAACAAAAAAAAAAAAAAAAACGAGCATATTTGGCTGTAGTTTAGCATAAAATAAATAAGTCCTGGTTTAGACCTTTTTCAGTCCTGGTTTAGACCTGGTTCAGTCCTGATTCAGTCCTGTTTTAGACGTGCTTTAGACCTGCTTGCAACAAAACAATCTGAAGAGCCGCTTGGGAGCCAAAAGAATCAGCAGCTTTTAGTGAGCCGAGCCAAAAGAGCCGGTTCTCTAAAAAGAACTGGAATACCCATCACTAGTGTCTAGAATGTGATGCAAAAATGCCATTAAGCCAACCTACTGTCTGTAAATATGATGTAAAGAGGCAGAATAACAATAAATGTTGCCTAAATAAACCCAATTTAAAATCCACCAGAGCCAAACCTAAGTTTTTTAAACAATTCAACATTTACAGTGAATGTTTACATCACTAAATATATCGGTGATTATATCGGCAGCTCCAACTCCCATTATATCGGTTTCATATCGGCCACAGCAAAATCCATATCGGTCGGGCTCTAATAACTGCTATAGTTAATAGCTTTGTAACAAATACCTAATCTAATCTTTTGCATCTTAAATATATGAATTATGTACAACTTTAAACTATGTAAATAATGAATGGATGGAAGATCTGTAATTTCTATTTTATTGCACAAGTTTATGCCAAAACATGCCTTGTTATTCCACGGTTTAGTAACTTTACAGATTACAATTTGAATATGAACAGTAAATTGACTGCAAATTAGGTGTTTGTGTTCAGAAGCAATGTGCATCTTCTCCATTAGTCGAAAATAAGGTTTTAGCTTAGTTTAGATGGTAATTCACACATATTGGCTTTGTTTTACATGCGCTAATGAGAATGCAAATGAGTTATTTCACTGCAGAATTACTTGTACAAATCCTTGACTTTTTTCATTGCCAGTATATTTTTATCTTTCTACAAGTGCAAATGGGCAAATTCTGTCTGCATCATCAGAATGAATCACAAATTTCAAGGTCGCTTCTTACTTATTGCCTCAGCTTGCCTGTCAATTCCAGTTCACAAACATATTATTCACTGTAACTGTCTCCCTGTCTGTAGCATCTGGGCTGTATCCGTGACGATGTAGCATTCTTACATCAGCCTTTTGTCCTCCGCGGAAACTGATGCCATCCGAGATCGACGACTGGAAATCGGCTATAGTGTAATACTCCGCTTCCACAGCAGGGGGCTCTGGTGGCTTGGGTAACCTGCATAGACCCTGTATCAAATATAAAGGAAGGAAAAAAGAGAGAGAGGGAGAGAGATGTGAGCCGTTGACAACACAGACGATCATGCACAATTTGACTATAAATAGACTTAATAGGCCATTACGTGACATCCATCTTTCCGAAATATGATTTAGTTCAATAATAGTCTTCATTTGTCATGGTAAATACAGAAATAAAACATTCCCAGCAGTCAATAGTCAATCCAGTCTGTCCATTTTGTGACGTGGTCTTGAAGGTTGCTATATCAACACAGCCAGTAACTTGGGAGCTAATTAATAATTTAATTTTATGTTTCTACTTTGATGTGTCGTATGCATACTGCATCTAAACTGATTTTAATGGAGATTTATAAGAACTCAATTGTAATTCTCAAGAAATATAACTGTGAGACCAATGCTAGGATGTTATATTGAAAGCTTCCACCACTCCTTTTCAAACCAGGCAGTCAGTTTGTACATGTTGTGGTGTAAAGTGTGTCATTTGAAATAAAATATTAAATACTTAAAAAAATAAAATAAGTAAATCTCCTGTGCATTACTGTTTTCACACAACATTTGAGATAAGACTGAAAATATGAACTGCTACACTAATACAAGAATCCCATGCATTTTAGAACATAGTTGTACAAACTCAGTTTTAGTTTTGGTAATGGGGATTTTGAACTTTTGATTCAAGTATAGTTCATCTTGAAGCCCTACAGTTTATGTTAATGAATTGTATTATAAATGGTACATTCATTGTAATATTGACTCAGGAACAGGGCCCAAACAATTGTTAGTTAGTGATAGCTCAACACTAATTTCTTCTAATCCAAATATGGAAAAGAACGCATCAAGACAATCTGATCTGATTTCAAAAACTTACCAGGTTAGCATCTCTTCTCGGGGGAGGTTTCTGCCTTAAATTAGGAGACCCTAGAGAGGAGAAACATAAAAACAAACACGTTATTAATTGATAAGAATGAATCTGGTATTCTTTTTAGATGGTTACAATCAATAGAATCTGAATGCGAAAAATTTATACTAGAAAGCAAATGACTTCACTCTCATTCATGTGAGTCAAATCATTTCCCAACACCAAGCAGTGAGATCTACACAGCACCTGTATCATTGCATTATTGTAGTTAAAGGTGCAATATGTAACTTTTCTGGTAGAGGCACTGTATCCTACTTGTCTCCATGGATATGTTATTGATTTGCCTGAAACATTCCACAGTATGGCATTAAACTTGTCTATCTTGCATTTGTTCAATACCAAGTGTTTTTGTTGCCTTGAAAATCATGTATTCCTACTCATTCTGTCATCACGTTGATCTCCTTGGAGATGGACAAGTACAATGCTGTACTGTTGCTGTAACATTCCTGGCAAAGTAAGAAGTTACATAACGCACCTTTAGGCCTAAGATACTAAAGAATCAACAATTCCATTAATAAGTATTAGAAAGCAAATCACACTATTTGTATTCAAAGTCAAATACCACCAACACATCTTACCTATCACCTCAAATCCTACACAAAAGGAAAATGTGCAGTTCTTAGCTTATGGTATATTTGCAATATATTATTCAGCAATGTTTCACTTTAGTTTGCTCACCAATTTCCACTCGATGAGGAGCGACCCTTGCCACGGCAGGACTCCCAGGCTCTCCTACACCTCCTCCCACTCCTCCCCCCACTCCCCCTCCCCTCTTCTCCAGCAGGGCGGAGCTAGCGGCGATCCCTAAACATGGACTGTTAGTATCCCGGCCAGCGCTTAGCCTCCTCCCCGTCTCCGCGTTGATCTCGGAGTTATACGGCATGGGTAGGCTGATCTCGCTCTTCGAAATGTGGCGCTCTGGGGACTGTCCACTCCCCTCTCCTTCGGTCTGAATGTCCTTCTCGCTCATGGACTTTTTCTGGAGCAGGTTGCTGATCTCCATGATGTTTCCAATGATCTCCACAGGGCCGGTCAGGGTCTTTTTACGAGGGGAAAAGTCATCTTTGAGTTTCTTTAGATAGGATGCAGGGGCCCAGCCTTCTTTGCCAAGGTATCTGTCAGTTAAACATAGGATCATGTAAATATTGTGTTTCACAAGCAGCAGATGGATTTAATTTCCCTTAATAGCTGCAGAAACTAACTAAGAACTAAGATACTAACTGCATTCAAAATAGTGCACACACAAAAATATGACATGATTTCCCAGCCCCACATATATTATTTATTCACTCCTTAGTCATCAAGGCCTATTATGTGGCTTTTCATTTAGGGAAAGTGGATGAAATGTACTGCACAAGAACACAATCATAGTGCGTGTTGTGTCTATAGCGGGGATTGAACCAGCAGCCGTCAGCTATACTGGTGCTTACGTAGTATCATTTTCTTCACCTTAAATGTCCTATATTGAGCAGCTTTAACTTTTGTGAGCTTTAAACCATTTTAGAATGTTGTTACCTCATCAAAAATATACTCGGAGCTCTGTTTTGAGTAACCCTTTATTATTAGTCTGTCTGCATCTTCAAAACTAAAAATGCTCTGTTCCATCTTGTGATGTCATGAAGTGATAGTTTTGCTATTGGGCCATTTGCAAACCATTTGTGTAGAAATGAGTACAACATCATTAGTAATCAGCAATAATTTTGAAAATTGCATAAAACAAGACTTATTTTAATTGCTTTGACAATAGAACACAATTTCATCCCTACTTAGTTTTCATTTTGACTCTTTATTTTGTTCATCATTCATTCCCCAGTGGAATTGAAAGAGGGGGCAAATTTGAAGGAACAATATCTCTACAGTAATCTTTCAGTCAGTCCGTTAGTATTGACAGTGCTTCACAAAAGGAATAAACTGAAAATTAACAAGAAAGTGAAGAAAAAAGAAAAAAAAAAAATCACATCTTTCATGCTGATTCACCAGTCCACACAATGCATACTTGGCATCCATAGTTAAAGGTGAATATTGACTATTTTCAGATATTTTCCATGTTATAATGTTGTTTCCTCATCACACACATACCTGAAGTTGTGTTTTGTTTCATTCATACGTTTAAACATAAAATATTCCATCCATCTTGTGATGTCCTGTGCTCCGCTGTTGTATTGCCGTTTTAAACCCCATACACCGTCACTAGAATCATTTGGATAATTTCAGACCTGGAATTGCCAATCTCTACTGTGCAAAAGGTAAAAAGAGCTGTTAACTTGAAAACTTCATGACATATAAGGTGGAGCAGACAAACAATAAAGGGTTACTCAAACATGTGCAAATGAAACAAAACACAACTCCATGTTTTTGAGGAGGTAACAGTATTTTATAACATGACTTAAAGCTCACAAGAGTCCATTTTGAGTAAAACCGCCTAATGAGTCAGTTGAGAAAGTTGTAATGAGTCTACAAAATATAACTCAGCCACATTTGGCTTTAGATGCACAATTCTCGGCTCAAAAGATGTGATCATTTCTCCAACTGGGACCACAAGCTGCTCTGTCCGCACTGCCCTGTGAGAGAGGCATGACTCAAGTCTAAAGATGGAGGATTATTTCATGTTAGGGGGCAGCCTTTCCTAACATGACATGTGCATTGCAATGAGAAGCACAGGCAGGAGCTGTTTAAACAAGCAGTTTGTATTGAGAATTAGCTGTGGATATCCTAACGGCTTACTGTGCTTCATGCATATATGTTTGCTAGTATTCACACTAAACTAACACCAGAATTACCATTAAGCTAATATCAGAATTCCCAATAAACAAACACCAGTATTTCCGCTAAGATAGGGTCACCATACGTCCATATTTACTGGGGATAACGTCTCAGGGACAGGATCTCTGATGATTCCAGGCGATACACAATACATGGCTCACAATATGATACGATTCAATGTTTTTCAGCGCAATAAAAACACAAAAAATATATACCCTATTTTACAGACTATAATTCGCACTTTATTTCATGGTTTGGGTTGTCCTGTGACTTATATTCCGGTGTGGCTTATATATTAAAATTTTTAGACTGACAGCAAAGAGAGGGCGCTCTAGGCTCGTGTGTCAGTATCTAGTACTACTATTACTCATGGATCTGCTATTACTCCTGTACCACTGTCACTTTGCCCTCCACTGCGCATGCCTCCTGTAGAAAGAGCTGCTGTCTCGCTGCAAATAGTGAAATATTCAGCCGAAAACGGTAATCGAGCAGCAGAAAGAAAGTCTGGAGTGATCGAGAAACTTGTGATTGACTGGCGGAAAGCAGGGATGGAGAACACAGCTTCATGGCAACAGGGAGAGTGCACCATGTAACTTTCCTGGAAGTCACTGGATGAATCAACAAAGCCTGAACTTCAATGACAATCGAAACCATCCTGTCGGGATTCAGAAAAGCCAGAATAATTCTAACTGGAACTGAGGCTGAATCTGATGACAGCTACGCAGAAGAGGAAGCGGCGCTCCGTTTACATCATGGATCTATGGTTTACCTCCAGAGGTCGCGCAGTAACACCGAGGATGAAGAATTCAATGGATTTAGTGATTTGGAGTGAATACCTGTTAATATTAATAATTATTCAGCCTGTTGTTCTCTATTCTGTTGTTATTACTATAACTTGCCTTTCAAGATGAAAGGTCGGTTCCTGGTCTCTGATTTTACAAAATACATTTCCCCAAAAAGTGCAACTTATAGTCTGGTGTGACTTATAGTCCAGAAAATAAGGTATATATTGTCAGCTTTATACAAAAAAATATCCCAGGTGTCCCTATTTTTGACCAATTTGATAACCGCCACCTATAAAATACAGAAGATTGTGCTTGAAAATTACTATAAAGCAAAAAAAACACTGTTGCACTAATAGAACTCCCTTAGTTTATGACTGACCCACACGTGAGTTGAGAATGGACATTGTTACGTGCACATTTCACAGTTTTATTTATACCAGACATCGCGTGTGTCCCAGTTTTGAATTTTGAAACTCTGGTCACCATAACACCAGTATTCCCGTTAATCTAACAACAGTATTGTCTGTGCACGTATGATGGGACGTCACAAGACAGCATGTGATAGTGATCAGCTGTGCACGAGAGGTCCTTTGGGGAATACCAGGCAAAACAAGCAACTAGGAAAACAACACAGAGGCTATCTATGTCCCCAATAATGTGGTTAATGATGGCTTGATATTATGAGTGTAACGATATCCAAGTCCCACGATATGATATTGTCATGGTATGAACTTCATGGTACAATATTTATTGCAATATCGTGGGAAAGCTCACGATATGGTGGGGAGTCTCACTATATTTCGATATTATACATGACTGACATCATAAAATGCTTTGACCAGTCATTTAATACAACATTTATTGTCATATTGTGACAATATCCAAATCTCACAGTACAATATTATCATGATATGCATCTCATGGTACGATATTTATTGTGATATTCTGAAGAGGCTAATAATTAAAGATGGGACACTTTTTTACTTTTAAAATACCTTGACAAGATTTTGGTCTGAATTACCTTAATCATAATCCCAAGAATTCAAGTAAAAAACATATTTCTTCATGTTTTCTGCACTGAAATGAATCATGGGATATGGAGTTCCCTATGTTTATAAGCTGTTGCTACTATAAAACAATGCATTTAAGCAAAGGAACGTGTAATTCGATATATTGTGACATCCCACGATATTATTGTGAGACTTTTGACAATATGATATCACGATATTTCAGTTATTGTTACATCCCTACTTGATATCATTCATATGGGCAACAGTAGCTCAGTTGGTTTGTCCACTGATCCGAGGGTTGGCGGTTTGAATCCACCCTAACCCTAGCAGAATGCTGTCGTTGTGTCCTTGGTCAAGACACTTAAACCACCTTGCTCCCAGAGTCTGTGTACATTGGTGTGTGAATGTGTGAGAATGGGTGAGTAGTTCCTTAAAAGTGTTTTGAGTGCCTTGAAGATGGAAAAGCGTTGTATGAAAATGTGACCATTTTCCCATAATATGTGTTGGGTCATCAAAGACGATGTACCTGATTTTTACTTTCTTAAAAATGTGAAAAAACAGAAGTTGTTCATTTTAAACAGTTTGCAGTGGATAAATTATTCCGCCACTTTCCAAATTATTTACCATTTATTTAGAATTTATTTAGATTTTCACAGCTTTCGTGGACCAGAGTTTTACAATCACAGTAAAACTACCAACTAGCATGCTAACAGCGCACTTCCCAGTTCTTATAACGCTTGTGTTGTGTTAAATCCAGGACCAAACCATGAAATCAAATACATATGAATCATACTCACATACCTAGATCGAGGCAAGTTCTAAACAGTGTGACTTACAAGTTTTAACTCATAAATAGGCCACTGTGGTAAAAGGATCCTTTGTCTCTGCACGCATCTCAACCTTGACTAGCTCATTCAGCCAGTTTAACTACTATGAAATTAAAAAACCTAAAACACTAGTGATGTGTGGTTCACTGAGGTCACATCCTCACATTGCAATCTGCTCAGTTTTAAGCCTCAGAGAATTCAAAGAAACAAACAACTGTCCGGTAAACAGCACACAGATGTAGCGGACAGGCACTCAGAGACCTGTGGAGAGGGCACCATATGCTACTGTGGCCTTTACTCAAGAGCTTTATGCAAATGAGAAACACAGAAAACATGGTCCCGTCTCTGGATTAAACAAAAGCAGCCTCTGAACCTCCAGGGGATGTTAGTGGACAAATTTAGAATAAATATTGGGATCAACAATAATTCTTTCCTGTGTCACCAGATGTATTATCTTGGAAACTATCAATCAGTAACTACAACTTGTAAACCTGTTACAAGTATTTCCGTCCAATTATTTATTTACTCATTGAACCTAGTGTATACTCTGCTCTCTCCCTTTTTAAGTATTCTAATAATGATAGAGTTTAGCAATCCAACAGAAATGTGCTAAAACATGTTTTGAAATGCATTACTTGAGGTTTAAGTAACAGAGAAAGTGAAATTCCCTTAAAAAATGCCCACAAACATGCAGAAAATATTCTGTTGTCAATTGTTGTCAGTTCTATTTTGGAGAATTTGGAGATTTAGTGTTATAAATGATGTACCCAATATTCTAGTTTTAACATATCTCCAAAACATTCACAACTTTATGAATAATTCAATGCATAGCTTGTCATTCATTGTACTTTTCTGGGGGTCAATTTATAATGAGTACTTCTAGCAGAATTCTCTTATCCATCTGTCTTCAAATGCACAATCCTGTTTGATGTTTATAGTTACTCAAATTAAACCCATTCAAATGTATTGTTTGTTGACATTCACTGAGAACCACTTGTGCATCCTAAACAATTAAAGAAGACCTACTGTGCTTGTATCTGCTTTATAGTTATAATCTATGACACCCAATGTCATAATTTGCACATTTTAAATTTCATTAGTCATCTAAAACAACTTAATAAAAGAAGCAAGCCTGCTGATTTCTGTGTTAGAAAACTGTGATGCCCAGTTGGAGCTGATGATGCTGTAAATGCCTCACAACACACTCAGACTGTGTAGCTTGTCGGCCCCTCTTATGGATAGCTGTACAACATGCTAAGAAGCGGCAGATTTTTTAAATCATTTGTTCCATAATTAATACACTATGCTGCCAAGTCCTTTGCTTATCACCAATTAAGAATATAAAATTGGAATATGAAGTAAATACAGAGCAGTGGGAGTATACGGGTAAAGAAAATATGGATTGAGCAGCAATATCGTGTTTTGAAAATAAGTGATTAAAGATGCTCAAAACATGCACAAACTACTCCAAATATAACTTCAAGAGCATAAATGAGAAGAGAAAACAACTATAACATGGTTAAAAGCTCTGAATAGTCCATTTTGAATAATAGGTCTGCTTTAAACCTTTTAAACTTTGTCCATGTCTAGAGTACTCCTTCCTTCTTAACTCTCCACTAAATCTCAACTAAAAGTGTCAGTGCAGTTCTCTGTCCCAGGCGTCCTTAAAATAGTATTTTTAAATGAGACTTCTTCATGCATGTTCAATCTCACCTGATGTACCACCAGCCCTCCAGGTTCTTCTGAATGACCTCCACAGTGACCCCTTTGTCGAAGCCCACCTCGTCCTTGCCTTGGCTGGTGTATGGTTGGATCGTCACATATTTCTCCTCTGCTGGGCAAAGAGAGAGGTAAAAAAAAGAAACACAAAGTTAGCAGGTTCCCTCAGGACTTATAGAGAGGAGAAACAGTGATCGTGACCCATTTAAACTGCTCTGAATACTCACATACATAACATAAACTAGGGCTGTGCCATTATTTGAATAAGATATGGGATTTTATGGGACATGGGATTTTGATAGAGAGGCCCACAGACAATCCTCTGTCAGTAAAAAAATGTGGTTTAAAGCAGATTTCAGACTTTGGAGAAAGAAATGTTAACCATTTTTTGTGTTAATGTGCCTGTCCTAGAATACTTCTGTACATAATTAGTTGAGCAAAGTTAGTTTTAGCCCAGTATTGATATATTGTATAAATGGCATTTAAAGTAGAAATGACACTGCTGTGTGCTGTCTGCATCAAACTATAAAGTATTTTTATCCTCTGAGAATCAAGAAGTGCTTAAGGTATGTGAGAAGTAACTTTGGACTACTGAAAACTGTTTAAACCATAAAAAAAAAAATAATAATAATCAAGTCGAAAATTTAGATTGATCAGAATGAGGGAAAAAAGTCTTTTTTTTTTGCCATATTGGCCAGTTTTAACACATCAACATAAGTCCTTCTATATGCTGCTAGACCTAGTTTCTCACAAGGACATGCATATAATGTATTTTAAAGGCAAGAGTCCCTCATCAAAAGATAGTGAGATCTCTGCTTCTCAGATCTCTATCTCCACTGTCAATCCTCAACTTCACACTCAAGAAATCCTACAGTGGGATTAAGGGGAGTGGAGTGAGGTTAGGGTGATTTAGACAAGGACAAATGGGAGGAACAGAGCACCAATAAATACAAAGAAATGTTAAGGGTAGAGCAGTATTTGGTGTGGAGATATGATCCTACTGGAAATAATTGGAGCAGGAAGTAAAATATGAGACTATAGCTTTCAAATGCCAAACCCAGATGAAGAAAACTGTGTTGAGAAAGTTATCAATAATGCAATAATAAAATGTGCAAAAATAATACTTAAAATACAAGACCATAAGGTAAAAAAAAAAAATAACTAAAAGGGGTTAAACTTCATGAGTAAATGTAGGGTTCCAGAATATTATACACTTTATATAAACCATGACAAAAATAAATGTATGTTCAAGATTATACACCAAAATACCATAGAAATCCCCTAGTATGTGTATGAATAACATGGCATTGCTCTATAATACATATGCAAAGAGCGAAATGACTATGATCTGTTCTATATTCACATGTGCATTTTCTTAAGAAGCAGTGAATCCAGACACCTTTCCTCGCCCTCCCCCTCCTGAGGATGTGAAGAATGTCTGATTTCGGGATGGTCTCGAACATGAATTGAATTGAAAAGGAGTGTACATGCGTGAAGGAGGGAGAGACAGAGGGAGGAGTGAGGGAGGAGAAGTGTGAGGGAGTGAGGGAGGAGAGGTGTGTGAGTGCTTACAGATGGACAGGGGAGTAAGGAATGGGTCGGCTTACAAAGAAATACGCAACATGTATCAAAGCGTTTGAGAGTGCTGGGGGACGAAGTGACAATTTTTGATGAAATAAAGGCGGCCTTCTGCACAAATCACTGCTATGAAGTGTAGCTGGTGTCTTTACTCAGCGATATACTGAACTTCAGAGAACAGTGAAGGACAAAACTGAAAGAACTTCTTTACTGGATTTAAAAGGGTCCATATTATGACACTTTCACAGTTATAATGTTGTTTCCTCATCAAAAATACACTCAGAATTGTTTTGTTTCATTCACACATGTTTAACACACAAATCCTGCATCTCTAGGCTGAGTTCTCTCAAACTGAAAAGACCCTGTTCCACATTGTGATGTCATATGGTAATGCAGGGAGTGCTCCACTGTGTTTTAAATGTCATACATCTTCATTGGAATCATTTCAGACCTGGAATTTCCAATCTCTGCTAAACTAAAGGAAAAGGGTATAGCTGTTATTTTGAAAACTACTGCTTCATGACATCACAAGGTGGAACAGAGCATTTTGAGGTTTAGACATAGGCAGACTAATAAACGGTTACTCAAATGTGTGAACAATACAAAACACAACTCCAGGTATGATTGTGGACAGATAACAACAGTCTAACAGCTCACAAGAGGCGTAATATAGGACTTATAAACATTAGTAAATTAAGGCAGGCTTGGCATAAAAATTACTAAGAACTGCAGTAAATCAGCGTAACATTATGTATATTTTACAAAAGTCACTGTAGACAAGGACTAGCCAATCATCATTAAGCCGTGTTCAGACCGAACGAGTCTAGCACAAATACATCTCATCAAAATGCCCCTAGTTTGCTGCTTGACTTTTTTGAGTCATTTGCTTCATTTGCGCGCCCATTTTGCTCGAGTCTGGGAATTTGGTCACGTGGGTGTCCTCTGCATTTTGAAAAAATGGTGGACTTGAACTACATTGAACAGGCTGCCCAAACCAGGACCAGACCGGGACCAAAACCAGAACCAGACCAGGACTGAGACAGGGACCAGACTGGGACTGAAACCAGTTTAGTCCTGGTTTAGTCCTGGTTCAGTCCTGGTTTTAGTCCTGGTTCAATCCTGGTTTAGTCTTGGTTCAGTCCGTATGCAGCACAAAAGTCTGGCATCGTAGACCAGAACTGAGCTTGGGACCAAACCGGGACCAGACCCGGACTGAGACTGGTTTAGTCCTGGTTTAGTCCCGATTTAGTCCTGGATTACTCCTGATTTAGTCCTGGTTCATTTCTGGTTTAGTCATGGTTTAGTCCTGATTTAGTCCTGGTTTAGTCCTGATTTAGTCCTGGTTTAGACCTGGTTTAGACCTAGTTCATTTCTGGTTTAGACCTGGTTAGGAATTATTAGGACACGTAAGCAAGTAGTACAATAAGTATTTTTTATTATAAGGTGCACAATGTAACGTTTCTGGAGATGTAATTGGTTTGTCTGGAATGCTCCACAGTATGGCATTCCATGAAGACAAGCAAATAACTCACCACCGGGCCAATTTTAAGTTCTGTTTTTCTGTTCAGGGTATTTTCTGCAATAAAAACTAAGGATTTCATATATGCAAAACAGATATGCATATTAATGTGATTCCCAGCTTTATTCAAAACAACTACAGTTGATTTATTGTTTTAAAAAGACATTAATGTGATTTGTCCTGCCAGTTCAGTCCATCTCAGTGTGTAGACTGTCTCTGGGTCACTTTCTACAAGGATAAAGTGCTGTGTTGAGTGGGTGGTCAGTGGGAGTCCATAAATCAGAATATATGGACCTGCTTTAAATGATAGCTTAGAGTAAAAAAAAAGACAAAGTAGGACATATAAGGACAAGCCCAAGCCCCATCCCTCCTCTGTGGCCCTTAACAAGATGAGGTCACTTAGCCGTCAGTAGCTAATCAACAGCGCCACGTAGATCAAGACACTCTGACCCAGCTTTTGTCTGAGCAAGAGCTTATTTAATTTAAGCCTAAAGCACACCCCTATGTGGTCCCTCCCCTGCATCTTTTCTATGAGAAATGTAAAGGAATCCAACAAAGCATGTATTCCTATACCATTAGTAAATTAGATCCAGTCCAGTGTAAATCCATGAGGTAATGCTTTGTTTTCGCATGGATCAGAGCTATTAATCATACTGCAGTAAAGAAAGTGTGTACTATAGTCAAGAAAAAATATAGTTGGCTGAAAAAATACTACTTGTGTTCTTTTAATTAATGTTCTTTTTTCTATGAACAAGTGTAATGTAAAGAGTAGATGTAATATGAAGTTACACAACACATTTTTGCACACACTTCTAGACCAAAGATGCATAAATATTACTAGTATTAGCCAACTACTAAGAATTTTACAGCTATTAACATGTTCTAGTAGCCTGATTCATCAGCCGGTTTTACTTCATAGAAAGCGTCTGACCTCGCAGTGTAAGTATTCGTTCACTTGACGGTTGGCGGGTACTTTTTTCATTTAACCAATTCCTGCTATTTGGTCGTGACTGGTATATTAAGCTTTTCCCAAATCCGATAGAAAGAAGGGCAATAACGTCTTTCCCCTTGATAAAATTCACCAAACATTCTCTTTGTTGCGGCTTTAAATCCTCGATCTCGGGAATCGTTGCCAACACAGAATGTATGTCTCTTCACTGATTGATTGGTGCCCGAACTCGCACTTCCGTGTTTTTTGCAAACCGTCTAATGGAGAGAAATGAAACTGAGCAGAGGCACTAGGTGGCGCCAGCCTGGATAATGTTCTATATGAATTTGTATGAAATAGGGCTTGATTGATTCACATCTGTTTAAAACAATTCTCCAGCCATTCCACCAAACAAAAGGTTAGGAAATGCACTCAAAAGGAGAATATTAATTCATATAATATGCCTAGTATGAAAGTAACAAAAAAGTGATTTGTTTCTGCTATATTCAATCTCTAACGCACTTTTGTACCTGTACTAACTATACACAGACAATATATTGGTGCTTTAAGTGACATTAGGGGATGTTTTAGCATATCATTGTCGCATAATTTCCTGATATATGTCAAATATACAGATTGGCAAACATATATTCCTATAGGGAAGAGCAATGACAACAAAAAGTACAACAAATGAGATTATATCAGGGAAAATACATATTGGTATTGATTAATTCCAAATAAAACCATCTCTACTTCTAACTTTCTCAATGAAAAATACCATCCGTGCTCATGGTTCACATTCACACAGTCGTGACAAGTGAGTTCAAAGTAAGAGAAAGGGTTGATTCTGGAAAGTGTCAAAATCACTTACCCATAATTCAGTGGTGTGGTAAGAGCAGCCCACCTCCATGTGCTTTGTTGTGGTGGTTTAAACTTTCTTTCCCTCTGATTATTCCACTTAGACCTGGCACAGCTGGGACCACAGTCTGCTAATATACTGTAATGGTATTTGATGGTATTTGGGGCTGAGGCAGACAGGGGAAATTGGAGGTTTAGATGATATTATTTCAGTCATCAACTATTTGTT